TCTCCTGTTGAGAATGCGTTGGATGCGGGGGGATACCTTCTTCGCCGACAAATCCCGCTGCTAAGCCAGTGCGCGGAGGCGAAACAGGAGGAAACGGATTCGCGCGGAGATTGCGCAAAGCAGGGGCAGTTGGGCGGAAGGGCCGCGGAGGGAGCGGGGGTAGATCCATGGCGCGAACCTTTGGAAAGTAGGATGCGATCGCTAATAGCCCTGCCAGAATTGTTGGAAGACGGGAGGGGAGGGGAGAGGGAGGGACAGAGAGAAGAAAGGACACACACACACACACACACACAAAAAAAAAAAAAAAAAAAAAAAAAAAAAAACCAAGTTGGTCCAATCCGCTTATCGCCTCCAGACTCACAAAGAAACCGCGAGATGTGAAACGGAAAAAGTGCAGATGACCTCTGGCTTACCAATCAAGAACACAAAAGTTGTCAAAGCGGTGGCCAAGGGATGCCTGCCGATTCGGGACTCCATGAGTTAGGGAGTTGCGACGGATTCGATTTTTATACGCTCCTATCAGGCGCTCCTAAACTTGTTGATGTGGTGCTTCGCAGCAATGTGAAGACACTCTCGACGCTCGACGCTCGTGGGATCTATATGGATGCCATCAGACATGCTTTTCCGGATTTATTTTTTATGTTACTGGCAGACCGTTGTGTTGAGACTATCATAGGGCGGTAATTCTATGAGCTGAACGCCTTACTCGGAAGAGTGAGTGTGATATTAGTATTCACTACTGAAGCAGTCGATGGGCGGTAGAGAAGATCGGAAAACGAGTCTTTCATGGTTCCTATTTGAAAACGAAAGGGAACGAATTTAGTAGGCTCGGCCGCTGTGGAATTAGAGCGTCGCGCCGGTCTAATCTGTCGTCCAATGCCGGTTACAATTTTTCAGAGACGCGAAACGAGTGGTGGAACACTCTCGAAAGAAAAGGCCAGAAGATGGAATTCCAGATCGGAATATCGCCGGTCGACATGGCAGAAGCATGCATAAACTCATGACTCTTAGGATTTGGACGCCATCCAAATTCGGTGAAAAGGCTCAACTGCGCTTTTCGTTTGCAGCTCTGGCGACTGTCTCCCCAGAAGATTCAATTTCCCGCGCAGGTTGCTGTTTGTGGGTGAGCGACAAACCGTCCGCTCGTGTCATGGTCGTACCAACCAGCCACCAGGAAAATGGGTGCAGGTGGAAATCCTCGTTCCATTGCACAATTGATGTTGCTGTTCTGTTTGGGTTGCACAGACGTACGCAATTCGTCCCCTTCAGTCAGTTCTGTCGGTGTGAAATTGTGGCGCGGTTGATTTCAAATTGAAACAGGAGGGAGTGGAGTGCCTCACAGTCTCACAAAAGTCTGTTTCCCGACATTTCCTTCCGTTGTAGGCGGTTCGGGTACAGAGAAATGCGCGGCTCGATTGGTTTCCAGTTTGTTGTTTGCACATGGGGATGAACTCGATACACAACATGGATCATGGATCTGAAGTTACCATTCAATGCGTGGCTTTAAGCTCTACGCGACAGTGTGTTTTAAATGTTCACAACGGGAACATAAACAACTGTTTCTTGAGTTCCAGGCTATCGTCTGTACATCAATCAGTCCGCCAGGTTTCTGCACAAGGCTGTTATCAAGCTTTATCTCAGCATCGATTCTATCAGCATTGGTTCTACCATGGCGTTAAGCTTCCAGCTCGCGTCAATATCAGAGTTTCCAGTTCCCAAGGATTTTCGTCAACACCGCTGTTGGCTGGATGGGTCTCGAACCTGGACCTGCAGAGGTTCGCTTTCAAGCATAAGAGACATAAGAAGCCAGCATTAACAGTGTCTGTGCTCAGAACAGCTTTCCCTTCAGCCATTGTCAGGCTGACAAGCTTCTTTCATCATCGCACGATGCCGCCTAAAGGACGCCGTACCAAGAAGGGTATGGAGAACGACCATGAAATCACGGAAGAAGGCTTACCTGTGACACCATCCGCTGGAGGGGAGATCAGGGACAAGGCGGCTGTTGTGAATGGACCGTTTGAAGACTTGCTGGACCTTCAGAACGCCAATGGGCAAGGGAACTCGTCAGGAAACGATGTGGCTGATGCAGACGCACCTGCTTTGGATCCGACGGAAAAAAATGGTGATGCTGCTGCCGGAGGTGACAATGCTGCTGACAATGATGCATCTGGCGACGATGATGCAGCGTCAGAAATGGCTCCTGATGACGGAGATGACGGTTACCTGAGCGACGACTCGGATGAACACCTCGAGCCGGATTCGCTTAGCACTGTTATTGCACTTAAGCGTTTCTCCTTAACGCTGCTGGTGCCTTTTAACAGGAAAGCCGAGGTGACTCGTGCAGCAGTCACGATTGCTGCACTGCTTGATGACTGGAAAGATCAGCTCTCACCTGACGCGCTCCAGACCACGACTTATCAGGAGCTCTCCGCGATGCATCTTTCGCGCAGGCATTTCGGCCGCTTGCAAGTCACTTTTAACCATGTCCGGGACGCTAACTTTGTGTGGAATCAGGTTATCAATCATGAGTGCTTGAATGGTGACTGCATCAGCCTTACCTGGCAGCACCCCGAAGACGCGCGTTTCCTGCGCGAACGCATTCTCAACCCAACCGCTAAGGAAGTGGTGCTGAAAGGGGTTCCGGCTGACCTTACCGCGGAGCTGATCCGCCGCTTGCTGGTGGTTTCGAAGTTGGTTAAGCGCGGCAGAAGCGCCTTCGCCAGTGGCTTTGGCTTTCATCGGACAATTGATCCTGTTACTGGTTTGGATACTGACAGAAGCCGTGGACTGGTGGTCCCACATGTGGCTGACGAGTATCGCTGGCGTTATTTTGTTGAAGAGCTGTCTTTAGGGAAGTGGTACCTCCTTTACTACCCGTCACTCACCTGCGATTTCTGCGGTGGCCAGCACATGTCTCGCTATCACGACCATTATATTACAGTGCGCCAGGAGAACTTCCCCAACTGGAACCTTACAGTGAAAAAGGTTCACGAGATCAACGGTACAGGATGCGGCTTTATACAGTCTCAACTCTCGACTCGCTTACCCTTTTTCATCTCACGGTTATATGTTACTGACGCTCACCTGCTTCTCTCCTCTCACAGCGGCTTCCCTCAAAGCTTCAGCCCCTCTGAAGCGGATCATGAAGGACCCGGCGATCATTCTTACCTCCACTGGAGGGTCTCGGGAGGACTGGGTCTGTGTCCAGACGGCGTGCGAGAAGGCGCGGGGGAACCGCTTCGAACAAGCTACGGCTCATATTGCATCTGCCAGGCACAAGGGGGGTTTGCGAAAGGAAGGCTCAACCACGCGCGCAAGCAAGTACTCTCAGAAGCTGCCGCCCTTCAAGAAGGAGTTTGTCATAAAGCAGGCGAAGCAGTAACCGACAGTACTGAAGGAGCTGAACTGCCATGGATGGGGGAGGAGGTAGCCATCAGTATCAGGATTGCAGGATGTGTACTTGGTGCTATGATGTCTTTTGCTGTAGCAGGCTGTATCGTTGCAATGAAGCTCAATCGCCCGTGGATGATGTGGGGCCAAATGGAGTGGTTAAATGGATAAACACAACAAGCTTACCTTCCTCGAGCTCAACATCAACGGGCTCGGCAGTACGGGGAAACAAGAAAGATGTGCGAAGTGGTTAAAGAAGGTTGCAAGCATTGTGGTCCTCACAGATACTCGAGTCTCGGCAGATCACAACTTCTGGACGCAAGTCAGGTCGGAGGCTCAGGTTGTGGTGTCGCCGTCACAGAGAGCTGGCGGGGTTGCGGTTCTGGGCTTCCTGAAAGGAATGAGATTTACAGACGTGGTCAAGCATGACTCGGGACGGATCCTGAGCCTGATGATAGCTTGGCAAGACTTGAGATGCAGAATAGTAGCAGTCTACCTACCGGCACAAGCTACCAACAGAGGGGTGTTCTTCTGCGACGTTCTCACACCTTTCGTGCAGAACCTGAGCATGGCGCCACACACGGTCCTGCTGGGGGACCTCAACATTGTAGCAGATCCTGTGCTGGACAAGTCATCTAAGTTGGGGACGCTGGCAGAAAATCAGAGGCTTCTGCAGATCTGTTCGGGGTGGGACCTGCAAGTTGCTTTCCGCAGTCTTCACCCGTGTCGTAAGGAGTACACCTTCTTCTCAAGATCTGCGCGCACAAGCACAAGGATAGACTGGATCCTAGTGTCACACTCTCTTCTCAGCTGCGTGGTGGAAGCGAAACATACCATGGTCCCATACGGATTGACAGACCACTGGTTCGCTGTGGCGATGTCGCTCAAGTCGGCTTCGTCGGAAGAGAACGGCCCGGGCTTGTGGAGATTGCAGGCCCCCCAGGCCAGCGGTGACGGAGCCAGGAATATAATCTCGGCGGTCTTGGACGCGCAGGAGAGTCGAGCTGATCAGGGTTTGGAGCGGTTGCTTGCGAATCTGCGAGCAGGCATGAGGGCACATGTGGCGGAGGAGAGAAAGCGGATAAGGGCGACGATTGTTTATCTGGAGAGGAAAGTGGAAAACCTACGCTGGAGGGTGATGGCTGATCCGTCAGCGCAGGATGTATATGAGGAACTAGTGAAAAACGAGGTAGCGCTGAAACTCTACCATGACAGCAACAGGGAGAGGCTGCAGGTCATGACGGGTGTGCTGATGGAGTTAGCGGGTGAGACGCCTTCACCTTTCCTGTCAGGCCTGGTCAAATCAAGGAAGGCGAGGACGGAGGTCAGCAAGCTCTGTTTCAAAGGTCGGCGGTATAAGGGCGCAAGAGAGGTGCTGATGGCTGCATCAACATATTTCAAGGAAGCGTATGAGGCCCCTCTCCAGCAGAGTCTTACCGAACCGTGGCCGATAGAGGAGGGGTGCACTCTACGGGACTCTGACAGGGCTCAGCTCAGTCGGGGGTGGACGGAGCAGGAGGTAAAGGCGGCGCTCAAAGGTCTCCCATCAGGAAAGGCTCCTGGACAGGATGGGTTGCCGAAGGAGTTTTTCGAGCGTAACTGGGACCTGCTGGGGCCGGCGGTGCTGAAGGAGATACGAGCGTTTGAGCTGTCGGCGGAACTCTCGGAAGCTTTCACTACTGCAGTCACAATTCTCCTGCACAAAAAAGGCGACAAGGAGTCAATAGGCAAATACCGCCCGATTACTCTGCTGAGTTTTTTCTACAAGCTGCTCGCGAAGGTGCTGGCAAATAGGATTAAAGTGGCCTTACCGCGGGTGATCTCCCCGAACCAGTTCGGCTTCCTCCCCGGCAGAAGCTTGAAGGAAGCAGTATCACTGGTAGCAGACGTGATTGACGCAGCGGCGGAAGGAGATGAGGACTGGCTACTTCTTCTCGTGGACTTTCAAAAAGCGTACGACTCGGTGTCTCGGGAGTACCTGTTCAAGACACTGAGGGACATGGGTTTCCCCGACAAATTTATAAAGTGGGTGAAGGGTCTGCATGATGGTGCTGCCACGAGGCTCCTACTCAACGGCTGGTTGGGGGATCGAGTGGAGATGCTCAAGGGAGTGCGGCAAGGGTGCCCGCTCGCACCGTACTTGTTTCTTTGCGCCGTCGAGCCACTCTGCCAGGAGGTGGAGAGGAGAGGGCTTGGAGTAAGGAAAAGAGGAGTGGCTGGGGAGTTGGCGTATGTCGGTTATGCTGACGATACTACACTGGTGCTGAAAGGAAAGGAGCAGGTGGTAAAGGCGAAGTCCCTGCTAGACGACTTTGCTGCGATCTCGGGGTTAAAGATAAACAGAGAGAAAACGATACTGATGCCGCTGGGGATTAACAGGAGACGAGTGCAGCCGGACGACTCACCTTTCAATTGGGCGACAAAAGACGTACCAGAGCGGCTGCTCGGAGTGTGGATTACGTCTGGGGGGTTGCCGGTGCCGGCTTGGGATAAAGCTTTCGAGAAGGTGAGCGCGGTGTTGAGCTGCTGGGCATCGAAACACCTGAAGACTTCGGCGAGAGTCACCATCATAAACTGTTACGCGATGCCGATTCTTCCTTTTCAAGCGCAGATTTACGCTCCACCGCACGACATATGGAAGAAGGTGCAGCGGCTGATCCACAGCTTCATCACAGATGGCAAGTCACTATTTGACAGGCACTTCTTCTTGTGGAGCTATGAGCTGTCATGCAGGGAGCGGAAGGAGGGGGGGTTAGGGGTTATCGACCCAAAGCACAGGATCAACGGCATGGTTATTCAAAACCTTGGAAAGGCAGTAGCGGAGTAGGATCCAATGAGAAATTGGTTGTGGGAGAAAGCGGCGGGATTCCCTCTCGGTCTGGCGACGATTTACGCACACCCGGCGGTGCTGAAACACTGGATGAAGGGCGGGGTCAGGTGGAAGGCGACGCTCAGGGCCTTGCGGGACTCCAAGATTGTCACGGTGGGGGAGCCTGAGAACAGATGGGACGCGGAAGGCGAGGAGCTGCTCTTCAACCAGAAATGTTTTTTCAGAGGCAAGTCGCCTTTCGGAGGACAGAAAGGATCGCTCTACTTGGAGAACGTCAAACTGGGCGACCTGGTTAAAAAAGGAGGTGATGGTAGCAGGAGTTTAAAGGATGAGGCTACTTTGGAAAGAGAGTTGGGCGGAGAGGACCAACGGAAATGGGCAGTCAAGGCTTGGGAAGCGACACCACAGGAATGGAGGGACATGGTGCTGAAAACCCTGACGGCGGAGGAGGTTTTTATGGCCGCCAGGCTGGTGCAGACGGCATCTTACCGGCCGGGCGAATTTTTCTACTACAGACTGGAATATGCAAGAGACGGGGTACTATACGGTACGAGAGTTTCGGTTGACAAGAAGAAACACATAAGCCGGATCGAGTACGCCAGCATGACGGACATCAATTTCCAGCGGGCTACCCCTATGGTGGTGATGGAGGGGAAGGTACGGGGTGCTCTTGGTGCTCCAAGGATGCGGCTGCTACGCTCACAAATATGTGACAAAGGAGAGCGTGCCGAGCTGAAACAACTGCGGAAGGCGATGAAACCCCCGGTGTCCCAGCCGAAGCAACAGCTGTAGTGGGAGGAACTGCTGGGGAAGAAGATGGGCTGGAAAAGGGCTATCCGAGTCAGGGACTCCCTCTCGACCCCAAGCAGGGCGAGAGAAATCATCCTACGGGTACACAGTAACAATCTTCGAGTGGGGGAACGCCTCCCTTTCCTGGGGGCACGGGCGAGATGCATACACTGTGGGGCAGTGGAGTCGCGGAATCACTGCCTTTTCAGCTGCCCGTCAATACAACCTGTGGTCGGAATGATGAAGGCGGCAGTGCAGTGGATGAACCCTGGCAGGGAGGTGGAGTCCCTTGGTGACATGCTTTTCCAGGAGAGCGGCACGTCGACGGGTTTTCCAGAAGCAGCGCTAATCTCCTCCACAGCGCACCAAATCTGGTTGGAGAGGTGTAATGCGGTTTTCAGGGGGAGCCGCTTCCAGCCAAAAAGAGCCCTGCGGCGGATTGCTGTCAGCTTCACGAGACATGTGAAAATCTACAGTCGGGCGCGGAAACGGGCGGCAAACAAGCCCGGGATGAGAAGGAAAGGGGAATGGTGCCATCTGGACGCTGACGAAGCGAGTGTCATGCGCAGGCTGTTTGATTCGGAGGCCTCGATGACGTGGAGATCGGGTTTCAAAGCAGTATGGGAGGATAGGGGGATAGCCTTTCAGCCACCGTAAAAGAGATAAGGGGGGTGGGGTTACAATAGTAACTTTCTACACTCTCCTAGCTCCAGTTACGACTGAGGATATGTGTATGCATGTTGTATACTTATATCCACCAAAAAAAAAAAAAAAAAAAAAAAAAGATACACAACAAACAGTTTGGGTACAATCTCTGAGAGAGAATTGCTCTAGAGCCCTGTTTGGCGACGTGTTTTGGAGCGCGAAATGGGCCGGCTCCTGGAACATACCCGAGAGCTGGCGAACTCTCTTCGGGATGAGACTTCCGCCAAGAAGAGTAGAGGAAATTCCGGAGACGGGCCCGACGACGCTCGAGAGAAAACCCCAGACCCGTAGATGCTGTCAGAATCCCAACCACTAGACCATTGGGATAAAAGGGCTTGTTAAGTAGCGGGTCAGTGCGCCCATAACCCCCCAGGCCAACGTGCCTGTAACCCTTCCCTATGATCAATCGGGGATCACCAATGGACCTCTGACACCCCCCCGCACTGGGATGCCCGAAGTGCATACACCGGGATTCGAACCCGAGATCGTCGCTCTGATACCATGTCAGAATCCCAACCACTAGACCATTGGGATAAAAGGGCTTGTTAAGTAGCGGGTCAGTGCGCCCATAACCCTCCAGGCCATCGTGCCTGTAACCCTTCCCTAGGATCAATCGGGGATCACCAGTGGACCTCTGACAGATGCGTAGTGATGTGCTGTAGCTGCGCGTCCACGGAGCCACCAGCGGTCCCGTGGTCGTGGAGGTCCTAGTCTAGGTCGGCTGCCCAATACTAATTCTATGTTGTGTAGAGTCACTACCGTTTGCACTGCCTGGCAGACCCGTTGTAGGTTTGATTCCATTCGCTTGTCAAGCAATTTCCACTTCCCCTTGATTCTGCCATTGACTTGTTCTACGATCATTCTAGCACGTGATTGTTGCTTATTCCACACAGCTTCCAAGTCGACCACGTTGCTGTCTGGCTCGGCACGGTAAGGTGTAAACGTGTATGTACGTAACCCATACACTGCGTCGCCGACCAACACGCGATCGTGCCGACCACCCTCCTCTATGCGGACGCGGGCAGGGGAATTCTCCCACACACCGGTGTCGTTCACTGATCCCGGCCACCCAGCAAAGAAATTCCAGATACAACCGATACTGTCAACGATGAGTTGTAAGATAATTGTGAAATCGCCAAATCAGTTCCTAAAGTCATCGGCATACAACCCCTGACCGCGACATTCTATGAAAGTCCGTCGATTGCCCCTATGATTCCGGGAATTCCAGACTCATATCGAAACTTGGATTCCATTACATCAGCGTCCAATTCAGCCGGCCACTGAATCCATTGTGGGGTGAGTACTAGTCCCACGAAGGCGTTGAAGTCATGGAAAATTATTCGAGCGTAGGTAGGACTCACACCGAAAATGAGAGCAAGTGCGCGGAAATTCCAGCCCTGAGCCATCCGCGTGAGGGCAAGAGCTACCTTGAACGAGGCAGGAATACATTCTGCACTGAGTGACGGTCGGTACTCAGAGTAGCGCTGGACTAGGTAGTTAAAAATAGGGCGTTCAAGCCTAAAATGTTCGTAGAAGGTGAGAGTTGGGAGCATAGGGATTAGTTGAATCCACCTCATCTGGCAGGTAAATCTGTCTTCGGGAAGGAAACGGCGTTGATCTAGCAATATGGCCGTAGCTAAAAGGTCAGGCACATACTGCATGATGGCGACTACTAAGGAAGATACTAGTAGTGCAAAGAACCCCTCGTAGATGCCGCAGAGCAATAAAAATGTACGTAATCGATCCATTGCGTCTGGTTCCGTGTGTTTGAGATGTGCTGGGGATTTTGTAGTGCGCGGGCCTTGACACTGGACATTGAGTTGGTCAAGCGGGGGGATGGATGCAATCACTCTGATTGGACAATGCTAATGTTGTTGGCCTAGCAAAAATCCCGTGTCGCCTTTGTGTAAACCCGGTAGTCAAGCGAAACGGATTGGGTTTCGCTAGAGTGTCCATCGTCAATGTGGCAGGGTACTGTTGATGACGCTTTGACGATCGTGCGCACAACGAGGGTTGGGAATCGAAATGCAACAATCGTCAAGAGCACACTCGGAGCGATCTGTCAAAATCGTCAGAGGGTCGGTGAGCAGACGAGATCCTCCTCCGACCCTCCCGAGTGCCCGCGTCCTAATTCAGGTCTTGGGTTTTAACTTCAAGGCTGGTTAGGGGCGAGTCGACTTTGCACACTTTCGGTTCAGTGAAAGTGGTGTGTATACGATATTCTGCACTCTAGAATGGCTTGTTTGCGCCACCGCCCTGAACCGTTACTCGCCAGTCTGAACAGTGATGCATGAACTGTGAAGGAGCTAGGGCCCCCGCCCTCACTGACACATACGATGTGGCATGTTTCAAACCTATACCCAGCAGGCCAGCGCAGCAAATCCCAGCGCTTCTTTAGGAACAAGGCTCTGACTTGTTCGGCCAAAGCTGCTTCTGTGCCAATCAACATTGGTCCCTCCTTTTCGAGCCAGATAGAGAACAACAGGCATGGTCGAACCTGGTGTATTCAATGTTTCCTAATCTCTATTTTTGCAGCAAGGCGGTGTCAACGTCTCATCCACAACGAGTTTAGGCACTTGGTGTCGGTGTAGAGAATCTATGCCACCCACGCACAGCCAGATCCCGCTCCCTCAAATTCACAACCGCACCCCTTTCTGACAGCCGTATCACCACATCCAATTGACACGCTCGTTGGAACCACGAGGGACAGGAGGCTCCACCGCTATTGAAACTCTCGTGGCGCGTTGGTCGGCTTCCCAACCTCACAAACCAAACCATTCAATTTCACGCCCTAACCGCGTTTTTGATTCGGTATATCGCGGTCCAAGACAGGCAGGGACTGTACCATGAAGGTAAGGGCGCGTAACCATTTTGCACCCGACGGCTCGAACCGTGGACCGTCCAGGTAGCAAAACGGTAACAATTTTCGCACAATGTCGTAATCATGTTCGCTAAGGTGTTGACGACATCGCCAACAAAACGGACTGTAGTGACACTTTTTCTCACTTCAACGGTCCGAAATCTGAAAAGGGGACGGTCCGAATCCCAAACGGACTGTCCGACAGTCCTTGCACACGATTGGAGGGCGACGCAAAAACTGTCGAGTCACCTCGTCCACCAACAAAAACGTACGAGGCTACTTCACGAATCGACATTGACCAACCAGAGACAACCCATAAACAATAATGATTCGATAAAGGCATTTGCGAGCTTGAGAGAATTGCGTAACGCTTGTACAGTGATCGCGAAACTGTACATTATGAAAAAAGTGTCACAACTGTCTTCGGACAGTCCGAAGTTGCAAAAAAGTCAGTCGGACGGTCCCGTTCTCGATAGGTGGACCGTCCACTTCGTTTTAAGCGGACTGTCCGTCAAAATCGTAAAATGCAAAATGGTTACGCGCCCTAACCAAGTGAACCATATTGCAAGAACAGGAAACGCACTTCTCCGATGTGTGATGTTGGGGGAGTAATGTGGAGGCATATTTCGGATCAAGGCGGCTGCACGCATATTAGAAACTCCGACGAAAACGAGGCTGCTGTTGTCTCTCCTTCCCTCCCACCGAACCGTCGCAACAGCCTGGTCTGCTTTGCCATCAGCAATCCGCACTCTCCAGACGCGGCACCTCATCCACGTAATGCGCATATATTTTCTTCTGTCGGCCTAGCCAGCATTTCTGATGACGCTAGTCTTGACCACATACGCCTCAACCACCTGGGTGTTTCCCATCTCAACGTGTTAGCAGGTGACTGAACGCAAGAGTGAACAGATGAGAGCTCGGGAGAGTCTCCACCATAGAAGCACCCACATTCGCTCGAGCACCGACTACAACCGATCTGGCCCGTGACAACCAGCTCGCTGCGCTGCACAGAGCCTACAATCAATAACGATCGCGTGGAACTTAATCCGTCCCTATTTACGAAGACTACAGATCGGTCGTGGCACTATGCGCAGGTTACAGATCTCCCACATTCGTGCTCGACTCTCGGCGTTTGTCACTCCCGCGCGCGTGTCTGCCTATTAAAGCCGTTGCCCATTCCCCGTTCCCACTTGAGCTCCTCAGGTCCCCAAGCCGCACGAGTGTTGCAGACGCGCAGTTGTGTACGAGTGGTGTAGAATATCATCGGTGTACGAGCGCAGTGGTCCTATGATGTCATCCCCGCTTCGCCGTGTAAAGAGAGTAAACCCTTTCCGCGTCGCGTCTCCGCGGCTCTGATGCTATCGGCACTCGTACTTAAATATTACTTAGGGATCGGAGATTAAGACTAGGTTGATACGGTGTAGTGCCTTCGCGCCTGCGTCCTTCATGCCGAACCATGGCGCCAGTCGCCATGCGATCCGCGCACCATCGTCGCACGAGCGTCGCACGCGTTCGCAAACACACCACCACCAGCGGCTGCGACTGCGGCTGCGACTATTCCTCACTCTCATCGTGCCGCTGCTGTCGTTAGCCTCCCCAGGTAACGGCCGTTGCTTCGTCCGTCTCCCGTCACTTCAGTCGTCAACCACCGTCATGAACACGACGGCCCAACCTCACGCCGATCCTGTAGTCTTTCAGCATGAAACTAATCACTCTCCCCTTGCCTCTTTCCCCCCACCTCCCCCCCACCTCCCCCCCACCTCCTCCCCACCTTCCCCCACTTCCTCCGACCTTCCTCCACCTCTCTCTGCCAGCAATCGCCGTCCACAAATCCTCCCGGTTAGACGACTCATCTGCCGGTAGTAGCGCCGGCGGCGACCGCGGCAGCGACGCGCCACCGCTGCCGTCTGTTCTGCAGGCCGTCGCGTGCGTGTTCGACAACCACACGCAGTCGTTCGCCGCGACTGTCGTGAACCCACTCCTGTAAGCCTTCCTCTTCTCGCGCACACGCAAGTGGCCTTTCGCAGTGACTCCTGTGAACCCACTCCTGGAAGCCTCGTCTTCGCAAGCACACGCACACCCGCCGCGACTGAAGTCACTCCCGAACTCGCGCCGCGCGCCGCGTTTGCTTGGTCTATCGTGTGTCTAGCTCCGTGCGTGCGTGAAGCTCCATGTGTGTGTGTTCTAGCTCCGTGCGTGCGCCAGTATAACCCGCCTCCGGTATCGCCTCATGTAACACAACAACCGTCTAGTTCCTTTCGCAAATCTGTCTCCCGGACCCCAACCCGCTTGCGTCTTTCCCGTCTCTCCCGCCCTCCGCCTGCGCAGCACCACTCTGTCGGCCGACAGCGGCTGGGCGCCTCCTGCCGGCCAGAGCTGGCGGAACGGCAACTGCCGGTTCCTTCTGTCGGCCCGCTGCGCTGTGGTTCGGCATTTTCCAGGTACGGAATAGCGCGCGCTTTTATACAGAGACGACTCAAGCTTGGCATATGCATGTGGAGGACCATACTCTCTTAGCATGATGAGTTAGTGGGACTCCAGCACCCCGAATAGATTGCCTTTGTATCCAAAAGTTCGTCCCGCCTCCCGCTTGCTTTCTTCCGCTCCCCCGTTTCCCCCCTCTCCAGATGGCTGCGCGGATCCCGACCCTTGCGCGTCCACGACTTGCGCGTGGAATGGCGGGCAGCCCGCGGCCCTGGCGGGTTGCGCGCCGTTCCCCGCGTGCTACTTCGCGGGGGGGGTATGTCGGTGGAAGCGCAAGCGCTCCCCTGAGTGCCTCGTCCGCGACTCCGCGGTTTCCGCCGCTGCTGTTACATCTCCAGTCAGCAACGTCACCGTGCGGGTTACCAGTAGTCGCACTCTAAGAAGCACACGTGGCAAGAGCAGCCACGTCAGTGCCGCTGCTGCCAAAGCCTCGCCCCTGCCCAAGAAACTGCCCCCGAAGAAAATACCGCGCCCCCCTGCGCGGGCCCGGTCCGCGCGCCCGCCTCCGCCTCGTTCCCCGGCCTCCCCGCGCTCGCCTACTCCGCATAAGGGGACGGCGGTCAAAAAGTCTCCCCCCGTCTTCCGCTGGAAATCTCCCCCTCCCCATCGGCGCAGAAGATCCCCTCCGCCGTTGCGCCACAAGAAATCCCCCCCTCCCTTCCGCAAGAAGTCCCCCCCACCCTTCCGGAGAAAGTCCCCCCCACCCCACGGCAGGGCGAGTCCCCCCAAAAAACCTGACTCTTTCCCGCCCGATGCGCTTCTTTCGTCCCCGCCGCCTCCCCAGCCGCCGCCTCCGCGGCCGCCGCGAAGCCCGCCGCCGAAGCCGCCGCCCAGGCCCCCCCCCAGCCCACCGCCTCCAAAACGATCTCCTCCCCCGCCTCCACGCCCTCCTTCCCCGCCGCCTCGGCCTCCTCCCCGCCCCCCGCGCCCTCCTCCCCGCCCGCCCTCCCCGCCACCATCTCCGCCACCACCTCCGCGTAGCCCTCCGCGTCCCCCCCCCTCCCCTCCGCCTCCCCCACCCTCTCCCCCGCCCCGCCCTCCATCTCCCCCTCCATCTCCCCCTCCCAGTCCCCCTCCCATCCCGCCTCCTCGCTCCCCATCTCCTCCCCCGCCGTCTCCCCCTCGCCCACCTCCCCCGCGGCCTCCCCCATCCCCGCCACCGTCTCCGCCTCCCCGACCGCCGCCACCCGCGCCTCCCCCCCCCCGGCCACCGCAGCCGCCAAGTCCCCCGCCGCGTCCCCCGCCGCGTCCCCCCCCTTCCCCTCCCCCGCGCCCCCCTCCGCCCTCGCCCCGTCCGCCTCCCCCTCGACCTCCCCCATCGCCGCCACCCCGTCCTCCGCCATCCCCCCCAAAACCTCCGCCTCCGAGTCTTCCCCCACCCCCACCACCACGCCCACCCGTTCCGCCACCTTCCCCACCGCCTCCCCCACCCCCTTTCCCCCCACCCCCTCAACCACCCCCGCCTTCTCCCCCACCGTTTCCCCCTCCTCGTTCTCCCCCTCCGCCCAACCCCCCGCCACCGCCTTCCCCGCCGCCTCCGCCGCCTCCGCTTCCGCCGCTTCCGCCGGGCGAATACGACCCGCGGTACCTGGGCGCCGTGGGGGACGGCGCCGCGAACGACACGGGACCGGTTCAAGCGACGTTCAAGCAGGCATGCGCATACGCGAGCGCGACGGGCGCTCGCGCTACGATCACACTCCCTGAGGGCTACACGTTCCTACTAAGTCGGGCGATTAATTTCGCCGGGCCGTGCGGCACGGGGACGATTACGGTGCAGCTAGATGGAATCCTAGCCGCGGACTCAAATCCTGCTGCAATTGGCTCGAGTCCCCCAAATTCCGCGATCGTGTCGATCAGCAAAATCCCAGGGATGAGATTGGTCGGGACGGGCGCGATCGACGGTCAGGGGAGCGTGTGGTGGTCGCGGTATAAGGCGGGGAGCAAGGCGGAGCGGCCGGATCTGCTGTTTATATCGCGGTGCAATGGGATGGAGCTGGGTGGCATTCAAGTGCGGTGAGTCGAAGGAGAGGGGTGGGGGGGTGGGTGGGGGAAAGGAGAGGTGGGGGGACGGGCGAAAGGACGGTTGAGAATGACTGGAAGGACGCGGGTGAGCGGGGGAAAAGGGGAAGGGGGAAAGGTATGAGAGTTAAAGCCCGAGTCCCAAATTGCGAGGCGCTCGGGTCAAGTTTTTAAAACATGATGTTGAGGTTCTTAAAACTTTTAAGAAGTGCACCTGCAATTTGGGACTTGCATGAAGAGGGGTTTGCACCCCTCTTTCCAACCCAAGGGAAAACGACCTGATCGAAAAAACTACTCCTTTCCAACTCCCTGTTTCAGCAAGCCAGGCGTGTTCAGCAAGCCAGGCCCTGTTCCAAGGCCTGTGGTAAACTGACTTTTTTTTTTTTTCCCCGCCTGCCTGTGGGTGGCAGCAACCCGCCGATGTTCCACATGAACATAAAGGACCTGGCGGGTGCGTGGATCCACGACATCAGCACGAGCACGCCGTACAACAGCCCCAACACCGACAGCCTGCACCTCACTCGCACCACTGACGTGCTCGTTGAGGACTACTTGTCGCATGGAGGTGAGCATGTGTCGCACGGAGGTGGGCTTGTGTCGCACGGAGGTGGGCTTGTGTCGCACGGAGGTGGGCTTGTGTCGCACGGAGGTCATAGTGTGTATCGTATGACATGGCTGCATGAATGTCCACTTCTTCTCATGGGACCCATGGCTCATGTTTGTCTTATCTATGCCTTCTCTAACCTTCTGTGTGCCTGTTTTAAGCTCACCTATATGCATTGTTTTACTTACTAATGCTTTGTCGAGGCGTGTGTTAAAGTTTCTCCTGAAACATCATGCTTGGGTGCATGAGGGCCGGGTGTTGGCCTGTGTGTCGACATTGACCTGTTTTATTCTCAGTTTATTCTAAGACAAATCCTTGGTTCTCAAAAGGGCAAAGTGCAGAACTTGGTCCTCATTCTCATCTTAAAGGGCAACTCAACCCTTGCACTCTCCACCCCAAACCCTCGTGCTTAAACTCTTTCCATTCAACCGTCCCCACTGCTCCCCGCTACCCTTCACCCTTGGCCCTCTTTCATCACTCCCTGCGCTGCACCAGGCGATGACAATGTGTCGATTGTGGGGGGGTGCAGGAACATCACCATACGCAATGTTGTCGCCACAGCAGGCCATGGCATCAGGTGGGTTTTATGTGGTCATGGGTGTATGTGGTCATGGGTGCATGAGTCTTGTCTTCCACACTTTCCCTCACTCCTCACCACCGCTCGCAGTTTGTCATCTCACCTTGCCTATTCTTGTCTGTCCTTCTCCCCCCCCTTCTCCTCATCAGCATCGGCAGTCTAGGCATGGACGTCAGCCTGGCATCTGCGTGTACTGCATATTCAAATATCTCCTTCTGATTTCCTCTCTCCGCCTCCCCCCCCCCCCCCCCCCCCCCCCCCCCCAATCCTTCCCCAGCATCGGCAGTCTGGGCATAGACGGCAGTATGGCGTGTGTGTCGGACATCCGGGTGCAGAACGTGCAGCTAGCAGCGCTCTCCAACGGGCTGCGCATCAAAACCTACCAGGGCGGCCAGGGCGCCGTCTGGAACATCCACTACGAAAACGTCACCATGCAGGATGTGAAATACCCCATCATTATTGACCAGGTACGTGTGTGTGCGTGTGGATGTGCATGCACATGATGCATGTGCATATGCTCATATCTGCATTATTGCTCCCAGTTGTTTGCTTGGTATCTTGCCGAGTGCCATGCCGATGCTCCTTGCCTGTCCTTCGTCCCATCGCCCTCCGTTTCTCGCTCACTCACACACTCACTACCTCCACTGCCCTTCTGCTGAACAGTATTACTGCAATACGAGCAACACCGGCGCCAGCACATGCCTCATCTCACCCTCTCACGCACCTCCATGGATTCACTCTCTTCCCCTACTCCCCACTTCCACCACTGCTCCCCCACCACACCAGTACTATTGCGACAAGAGCGACGCGAGCGCGACCACATGCCTGATCCAGCAGAGCGCAGTGGCCATATTCAACATCACATACCGCAACGTGCAGGGCACCACCAACGCCACGCGTGGGATCACCTTTAACTGCAGTGCCTCGGTGCCATGCCAGCAGATTCGCCTCGACAACATCAACATAGATTCGTCGTATCCGGACAATCACTCCAAGGCGACCTTAAAGCCCTCGTATGTGAACGTGTATGGGCTGTCTACAGGAAAGATTATCCCGACGGTTTTCAATGGGACGAGTGTGAGCGGGTGGGTGGATGCGGGGTTGCCTGTGAACCAGGCAGCTAATTTCATGAGTCAGGTGGCCAAGTGTGGGGTGGTACAGCCTTGGACCTTCTCCCCTCCTCCCCCCAGTCCCCCTCCCTCTCCTCCTCCTCCACCTCCCCCCAGCCCGCCACCGTCGCCTCCGCCCAGACCTCCCCCCATGCCTCCCCCACGCCCTCCGCCGTCCCCCCCTCCTGCTCTGCCTCCTCCCCCCTTGCCTCCGCCTTCTCCCCCTCCCCCTCCCCCTCTTCCTCCCCCATCTCCACCTCCGTCACCCCCTGCTATACCACCCCCCCCACCCGGTAAACCCGTTTCCAGTGCCTTCACTTCCCCAGAAGAACCCATTTTTCCCGATGACCCATTCATTCCCCCATCCGTCTCTCCCCCCTCACCACCCTTGCCCCTGTCACCACCACCACCAATGCCCCCTCCTTCCCCTGAAAGGACCCCACCTCCCCCCCAGCAGCCTCTTCTATCAATGCCCACACTCCCTCCACCTCCACTCCTATCCTCCTCATCTACTCCTTCCCTCTTTCCTCCTCCAGTTTTCTCGTCAAGCTTCCCTACTCCTGTAGGGCCACCACCGCCATCATTTATTAACCAACCACCACCACAACCACCACCACCACCACCACCACCACCACCACCACCACTACTACCACTATTGCCGATGCCGCCGCCACCACCATCACCACAATCACCTTGAAGTCCATTTGATCCACCTCCCTCTTGACACAGGACAAACTATTGTTGACTAACTCGGGCACACCATGTGTACCCATCTTTCATCAACTTAGAGGTCATTTATACTGCATCACCACCCCTAGTGTGTGCGCAGCTAATGACATGACATGTACCAGGGTGGTATATATGGCTCTTCTGGTATTCGTGGAGCCAAGGAGGGGTGAAGTACTGGGCTGGCTGGCTGGCTGATAGGTGCATATGTGGGCGACTTGGTCAGTGGGGTCCATACAGAAATAAGGAGATCGTTCCATACAAGATGGTGGATGGAGTGAAACAAAAAACTGCCTGTACTAACTTATGGTGAATGTAAGGATTTTCCCTAATTCCTTAATGATGCACTCTGTGCGCATACAACTCCAATTTTCAGAGTTATAGGCTCGGTCCGATGACCTCATCCTCCAAACGTCCCTCGCGTTGTCTTCGAGTCTTCCCAACCCTGAACCTGCACCCAACCATTGACGAATCACGATCCCGCGACTTCGGCATACGGTAGCTAGCCTTCGCTATATCAGGACTAGGCTTCATCGTTTGCTCAGTTGTTGTTATACGGTACGGTAGCTTCTGCATCCTGCGCACTCTTTTCATTACAGCTCATAACAGTGAACATGCAATGGCAACTTCTGCCTTTGTAGTGAAGATACAATTCAGATGTTCCTTTCTGACATAAATTTATACCTATCGGCATGCTCTGCTCTTTCTCTGACGGGAAACAGCCACTTGTAAAACGAAAACCAGATGTTGCGTAACACACACCACACAACAGATCACTGTAGAGAGTCCAGAAATTCATCAACATCCCCTTCCAGGGCCTCAGAAGTCAGAAAAAAAAGGCTGATTTAGGCTCTGGAGGCTGATTTCCTAGACATGTGGCTGATGTGTTGGCTGATAATTCAGTTTTTTGTTTTTTTAAGAGTTGGCTGATTGTTCAGGTTTTTTTTTAATGTATTAGCTGATTTTCCAGCGTTTTTTTCCAAGTGTTTGCTGATTGATCAGAGTTGTAACGAGAGTGTAGGCTGAATTCACGCTATAACAGATTCGTGCTGGAGCCGTGAGTTTTGGTTGTCCAGGTACATCCACCGTCAATCACGCAAAAGTTGCCATGTACAGCGCCGACGCGGGGGGGAAATGATTTTTCCCGACGCGCCGGTTGCTTCGTTGTCACCGATAGAATGCTTCAAGTGATGTGATTGGTTGTTTAACCAATCACATCCCTTATGGGCCAATCACCCACCACCTGTGCATCACAGCAACGCACCGCACGCACTCACGACAAGGACACCCACCTCACCCCATCTCACCCACCCCGAACCTGCATCCAAGTGCGTGCATGGTGCCCCCACGTCGCGCCGCGTTGCAGTTGGGTGGTGAGAACGAGAGGGCCTTCTTTTATGGCTCTCTCTTGATGACCCCACCGTACCCACCCACCAGGCGAGCTGCACTGTCAATCCCCGCCTCTCGCCCTGGTTTTCTCAAACCCTAGCTAGCAATGTTGGAGCTCGGCACGCTCTCCCCTTTCAGCCATGGCCGGCCTTGCAGAAGGCTTGGCTTGCGATGATGATGCAGGCATGGATAGTAGTGATGATGAACTAGACGGCCTAGAGGAAGCCAGGACGGGGCTTGATATGCTTCTGCGATCGCTTGGCACTGGTGTCCTCGCTCCCAGGCCTCCTACTGCAAAGCCTGCTCTAGTCAAGAGGGTGAACTGCGACCACCCACGGGTTTGTTCAAGCTCGGATTCCATCCGGAGTGAGCTTGCTGCGCCGGCTGCCGTCTCCGACACAGTGGTTGTCGAGTCGCCAACAACGAAGTCCTCTGCCCCGCGCACCTTCAAGCTGAAGCAGTCGACGCTGAGCTAGGCAAAGCCATCTTCCAGCGCCGCTGTCGAGCAACCTGTCGTGAACAATACATCCCCTTGTCCATCATTGGTTATAGACATTTCTGAGGCCATTGAAGCAGTCTATGCAGACGCTCTTGTGAAGTACAAAACTAAGTGGTCAGAGAGGTTCCCGTGGCTTGTGCTAATGAAATCTAAATCCGGTTTCCCTGCTTTTAAGTGCAGTGTCTGCACCTAGCATGCCAGAGTCAGGGGACGATGTGGCCGGACAGGGCGAGGGGCGACCGACGTGCCGACACATACGTTTCGCAAGCACGCCGGTATGACAAAACACAAGCTGGCGATGGAGAAGTAGGAGGCTCTGCTGAACACAGCTTCAAAGCAGCCACGGATCGACCAACATCGAGCCGCCGTCGATGTTGAGAAGAACCGAGTCATGGCGTTGCTCAACTCCATGCTGTTCGTCAGTTCCTGCGATGCGCCTATGGGAACATGGGTAAAGCTGGTGTAGTACCTCACGCGCAAGGGTGTCCAGGGCTTCCCTAAGAAGGGATATGGCACCTACTACACATCGTGAGTATTAGTCACCCTTGTGTTGTGTTGGTGTTTTGATGTTACTACCTTAACCTTCTTCTAATCTCCTGTCTTCCGTTTCCCTGCGGGCAGGTACGGCTTCGGTGAGCTCACGCAGGCCCTTGCTACCTGGCTACAGACAACTCAGCTAGAGCACATCCTAACAAGCCCTTTCATCGGCATCTGTATCCATGAATGCTCAGATCGGCTCAGGGGGAAGCACATGATCTTGTACGCCTCGTTCATCCACGACAACGTCCTCGTGGCCAAGTTCATGCAGCTCATCACGGTGGAAAAGGCGGACGCTTCTTCTCTTCTGAGCATCCTGCTTTCCCACTTGCAGGCAGTTGGTGTCGATCTGCAGAGGATTTCCACCATTAGCACCGACGGCGCAAGAGTGATGATGGAGTCTAAGGCCGGCCTGGTTGTCCGACTACGACAGAAAATCCCGCACCTTGTCTCTGTTCACTGCATCGCTCACAGGTTAGTGAACTCTGCTGTTTCGTTTTTAGCCAGTTACGCCATCTTGTTCGAGCTCGTCTCTAACGTCTTGAGTTTGATGTGTTCCACTTGCAGGGAGGCACTTAGAGCGAAGGGTGCGACAGAGGAGTGTCAGAATGTATTTGCTGTTTAGCATGCAGTGGAGTACTCTGTAGTGAGTACAACCCAGTTTAGGGTTTGCTATTTGTATCCCAACTTTCTATAGTGAAACCCCTCATTCTTCCTTCTCGACTTTCCTCACCCAAAATTCTCTCGACACTCACTAGCCATGGCTCCTAAGTCATGCTAGTATTCTAACATGGTATCAGAGCAATAGTTCCTAGGACCTCACATTAATGGGCCCACCACCTAATGTCGTGCTAGCCTAGGCCCCGGCCCGTCGCTCCTTGGCATCGCCCCTAGCCCCCAGGCTCGGCCCCTTGGCCCCGTCGCCCCTAGCTCGGCCCCTCGGCCCCTCTGGCCCCGTCGATTCCGTCGCCCGCGCCCGGCCCGTCTCTAGCCCGCGATCGGCCCGTACCTAGCCCGCGCCCGGCCCCGTCTCGCGCCCGCGCCTGGTCTGCACCTAGCCCGCGATCGGCCCGTTCCTAGCCCCGCGCCCGGCCCGTACCTAGCCCGCGACAGGCCCGTGCCTAGCCCGCGCTCGGCCACGTCTTACGCCTGCGCCCGGCCCCGTCTCTTGCCCGCGCCCGGCCCGTACCTAGCCCGCGCCCGGCCCCGTCTGTAGCCAGCGCCTGGCCTTGTACCTAGCCCGCGCCCGGCCCGTATAACGCCCGCGCCCGGCCCCGTACTTAGCCCGCGCCCCGGCCCTGTACCTGCCTAGCGCCCGGCCCCGGCCCTGTACCTGCCTAGCGCCCGGCCCCGTACCTGCCCAACGCCCGGCCCCGTACCTGCCCAGAGCCCGGCCTCGTACCTGCCCAGCGCCCGGCCCCATACCTGCCCAGCGCCCGGCCCTGTACCTGCCCAGCGCCCGGCCCCGTTCCTGCCCAGTGCCCGGCCCCGTACCTGCCCAGCGCATGGCCCCGTACCTGCCCAGCGCCCGGCCCCGTACCTGCCCAACACCCGGCCCCGTACCTGCCCAGCACCTGGCCCCGTATCTGCCCAGTGCCCGGCCCCGTTCTTAGCCATGGCCCGTCGCCCCTAGCCATGGCCCCTCTCGACCTGCCGCCCCTAACCGCGGCCCTGGTGCCCTGTTGCAACATGGTGGGTGAGGGGGTGGCAAGAGGGGGTTCCTCCTGCCCGCGTGCCCTACAGTCGCACGCGCAGCTCCGCCCCCGCCCCCCTCCCCCCCCTCCATGGGGATGGCGGGGAGAGGGTGTGAGGGGGTGGCGGATGTGCCTCAGCAGCAGCAGCTGCCGCCACGCCTCCTCCTCTCTCTCTCCCTGCTGCACCTTGTGTTGGGAGAGGGGGGGAGCTTGGAGGTTCAGGGGGAGGCAGGAGGGGATCTGCAGCACCAGCCCCCCCTCACCCTTCTCCTACCTCCCCCTGCTGCACCCGCAGCAGAAGGGGGGAGGGGATGTGCAGCACCGACCCCCCCCCCCCCCCCCCCTCCTCCCCCCCTCATCCTTCTCCTACCTCCCCCTGCTGCGGGTGCAGCAGTGGGGGGGAAGCGATCTGCCATCCCCCTGCTGCGGATGCGGTAGTTGGGGGAGGGGACCTGCAACACCAGCCCCCCCCTGCCCCCCCCCTTCTCCTCCATCTTTCTGCTGCGGGTGCAGCAGTGGGGGGAGGGTATGGGGGTGGCGGGTGTGGCCAACCTGCTGGCGCCCGAGCGGCTCCTGTGCCGCCCCTTCTCCTACCTCCCCCCTGCTGCGGGTGCAGCAGTGGGGGAGGAGGGGATCTGCGGCACCAGCCCCCACCCCCCCCCCCCCCCCCCCCCCCCCCCCTTCTCCTACCTCCCCCTGCTGCGGTTGCAGCAATGGGGGGGAGGGGATCTGCAGCACCAGACCCC